ATGGTTGTTTGTGTTATCCTTAGCTCAAAACATATACACATAATAAATTAGAACCTAAGTCTAAACCATGTGTTTTTGTTGGTTATTCATCTTCTCAGAGTGCATATCAGTGTTTAGATCTCAAAAGCTCAAAAATTTATACCTCTCGTCATGTTTAGTTTGTTGAAACTATTTTCCCATTTGCTACTTCCTTCAAGTCAGTGTCTTCATCGTCGCCTCCACTTTCGGTATGGATAAATTCATCAAATGCTGATGCTTTTACTGAAATTCCTGTGTTACTACGCCTATGGTACCTGCTGCACCTAGACAAGAGGTTTCCACTACTCAGAGAATCCTTGATAGAATAGACATATCAGCTGCTATTTGTGTTGAGGTTCCAGCTCATGTGCTTAATATTGATGTTACAGCTAGTGTTACAGCTCATGTGCCTAATGCTGATGTTCCAACTCCTGTGTCTCAAAATCAAGAGCAAAATTCTGATGTTAGTATTAATCAACCAGCAGTAATAAATAGTCATCATATGGTCACACGAAGAAAAAATAATATTCATAAACCAATACAAAAGCTCAATCTTTCTTGTGAATTAACATCAAGTATTGACACTGAACCTCACACAGTGTCATAAGCATTCAAAGATCCTAAGTGGAGGCAAGTTTGTTCTGAAGAATTTGATGATTTGGTGCATAATGGGACTTGAAAATTAGTTCCTCCAACTGATTTTTAGAATCTGGTTGGCTGCAAGTGGGTGTTTTGGATCAAGCGTAATTCAGATGGTATGGTTCAATGATACAAAGCCCAGTTAGTGGCAAAAGGCTTTCATCAGCGTCCCAGTGTTGACTTTCATGAAACATTTAGTCCGGTTGTTAAACCAATAACTATACGACTAGTCCTTAGTATAGCAGTTACTAATGGTTAGGAACTACGTCAACTCGATGTTAACAATGCTTTTTTACAAGGGCCATTGACAGAAGATGTATCCATGGCCTAGCCACAAAGGTTTCAAGACAAGGATAAACCCAATTATGTTTGTCATTTACAGAAAGCAATCTATGGGTTGAAACAGGCGCCTAGGGCCTGGTATCAAGCTCTACGACAACATCTACTGGATACAGGTTTTGTCAATTCCTTATCAGGTTTTTTGTCAATTCCTTTTATCCTTATCAGATGCTTCTTTGTTTATAAATTAGTCATCAAAAGGTACTTTGCTACTTATTATGTATGTTGATGATATTATAATAATGGGTAGTTGTACAAGGCTTATTCAAGATTATATCACTGTTTTGGCAAAGAGGTTTTCTTTACAAGATTTAGGCTCACTACATTACTTTTTGGGTATGGAAGTTACACCAAATAAGCAAGGGCTACTGTTGTCACAACGCAAATGCATTTTAGAGCTTCTTGAGCAGACAAATATGAGCAATGCAAAATCAGTATCAACACCAATGGCAAGTAGTTTTATATTGACGCTCACTACAGGTACTAAATTGTCTGACCCGGCAGAATGACGCTCACTACAGGTACTAAATTGTCTGACCCGGCAGAATATAGAAGAGTTATAGGAAGCTTCCAGTATTTGTCTCTGACTCGTCCAGACATTGCCTTCTCTGTAAATAAACTTTCTCAGTTATTCATCAACCCACAACAGAACATTGGGCAGCAGTAAAGAGACTTATGCGGTATTTGATTAGAACTTTGAATGATGGACTTAAGTTGTTTAAAGATTCTCCATCTGTCTTACATGCTTTCTCTGATGCAGATTAGGAGGAGATCGTGATGACTACCATTTGACAGGAGCATTTGTTGTGTATTTTGGTCGCAACTTGATTTCGTGGAGCTCTAAGAAATAGAGATTAGTTGCGCGTTCTTCAACGGAGGCTAAATATAAATCAGTGGCGAATACAACAGTTGAACTAAACTGGGTATTGCATCTTCTCTCTGAGTTGAAGGTTTAATTGGAGAATCGCCCTGTGATTTATTGCGACAATGTTGGTGCGACACAATTGAGCTCTAATCCGGTATTTCACTCTTGTATGGAGCATATAGTGATTGACTTTCACTTTATTCGAGAGCAAGTTCAGTCAGGAGTTTTGCGTGTCTCTCATATGGCTGCCGCTGATCAGACAGTCGATATGCTCACTAAATCCTTATCTCGCTTGCTGTTTCTGAAGAATAAGACCAAGCTAGGGCTTTGTCAATGCCCTGGAGGAGGAAAACAATGATACATTGTAGATTATTTTGTGTATTCTATTGCTTGAAATGGGGTCGAAACTACTTCCAATTGTTCACTTGTAATCTTTTATTCAACGGAGCATTGGAGGATGGACTACTGCAACTGTGCTTACTGCCTAGCTTTGATAGTTAAAGAATTCTTAAGTAAGGAAGACTTGTAGCTACCGCAGCAGAAGTGATGTAATTCCTATCCCATTCATTCAAATCAGAAGGCTGGTAAAGTGTGGTTGTCTGCCATTATCTTTGACGAACAAATACCAATCTAGGGCTTCGTAATTGCCCTTAAGCTTGAGGGTGGGTAATAGCCAAGCCCAAGCCCATCTGTATACTCTATTAGTAGACGAATTTTGTTAGGAAAGAATATCTGTAAATATTATTGTATCTCTATTATAGTGGGATTTGATTTTCAAATTAGGCTTAGCAATCTGCTGGCAATCTGTATAAATACATACAGTTTACATCAATAAGAATCATTTGTTGCAGTAACATTGTTTAGTCTTTTAAATATATCATTTCAATGACCATAAAAATAACTAAAATTGATAAATTCTTCTCCCAAATTACCGCTAATACATGCTTATGCACAACCAAACTCATGATTTTTGTTCTTAGAAATAAATAAGATTCTCGGAACTTCTTAGTTCTTCTTATTTCAAAGCTGCTTGAATTATTTGTTATACTTAAATAAGCAAATTTTGGAATGGAACTGCAAGGTCGGGAGAGACATGCGAGATGGAGAAGATGAATTTATTGCATATTTAGAGAGATAGAGACCGAAAGAGAAAAAAACAAGATGAAGGGGCAATAGAGCTTAGAGTTCCCATGGAGTTAGAGAAGACGATGATAGCCATCAATGGAATAGTGCGTTTCGCCCAAGGCTGGTTGATGGGTTAAGCCAACGCAAGGCAATTAGATGGGTCTAACGTTTATATTTTTTTATATTCAAAAATCTAGCTTTAATTTAATGTTAGGGTGCAATTGTCACTAAAGGTCATAATTAGAGTACATGTGGAACAAAAGTCATTTTAGAGCGAAATTACAATAACCAGAAAAGTTGAGAGTAAAATAGTATATTAGGTCTTTTATTAGGCATAAAAAAAACACATATTTTCTGTCTAAAAAAAAAAGCATATACACTTTCCTAATATTTAATAATAACAATAATTAATATGGATAATGAAATATATTAAGATTCAAAATATATTTGTTCTAAGAGAATAAAAAGATTCAAAAATATTATTTATATATTAAGAAGTATCGGTTCAAGGATGTTCAGTTAAAGAAAAAAGGACTAATCAAACATAACTTCATTAAATAATTAACTATTAAATTATAAGACTCGTTTGGTTCATTTGATTACACTAGTTGATAGCTGGTAGCCAATAGTGATTAGCTGATAAACAATGGCATTTTGTAAACTTTTTTGATAGCTGATGCTGTTAAGATATGAGATGAGCACTAAAGGTATAATCATTTTTATACATTATGATGCATAATTTACACCTTTTTAAAAAAAAATTTTTAGTGAGTATATTATTTTTTATTTTAATTTTATTTTAATATATTATATAAATAAAATTAATTTTTAAAATTTTAAAATAATATTTAATAGAAAACATATTTTTTATTTTAATTTATTATATAAATATAAAATAATATAAATTTTTAAAATAATATGTGATAGAAAAATTATTATTTTTAAACAATTACAAATAAATGATTACAAAAATAGTAATTTGAAAAGAAATAATTTTATTAATAATTATTTTATAAGGTAATCACGTATGAATATAATATAAATATAAAAAATCAATTAGCAAGTGGTACTAAAAAATTCTAAAATACTATAATTTTATTAATAATTATTTTATAAGGTAATCACGTATGAATATAATATAAATATAAAAAATCAATTAGCAAGTGGTACTAAAAAATTCTAAAATACTTTGATCGGACTTTTATCACCTATAACTGCTGATTGAAAAACTTATCAAACACTTATAATCTATATATGAATTAACCATCAGCTGCATGAATCAAGTAAAATAAATATCCTCTTAATCTCTAAATTAACTTCACAAAAGATGTAAGTAAGGAATTATAATATTTTATAATATATGGAAAGATATCACTCAGCTGGAAGGTGCTCATATCTTTGGCATAAGAGACTCGGATTCGAGTTCCCGACTCACCTTAGCCTCTCCTTATATTTAGGTTAAAAGAGGTATATTTAGGTTAAAAGAGGTACTGTATAATATAATAAATCCAGCATTAGAATATAAAAACTTTGGAATTATTAGGCCTCTCCTTCATTCTCTTCTTTTAGCATCAATTCCATTCTCTGTATCTCATTTTTTAAATAAGGTTAGTAACTCTTTTATGCCTCAAATGTATGGGCATTGAAATCATAGCTTTTAGTGTTTTAGTCTTTTCAATTTTTGTTAAATACTGTCTTAGTGTTTCATTGGAATCGATTATAGGTCTTAACCTTAATTTAAGGTTTAAGGGTTTCAACTTTTAAGAATCTTTCTATTCGGTTCCTATTTATTTAGCTTATGCAAATGAGCTCCCTCAATTATGTTTTGAGTCCAACTCATTTCTTAACCGTATTGAAATGCAATTTATAAGCTGGTAAGTGCATTATCTTAATTATTTAACCGCCATTTATAAGTTATAAATACAAAACGTTGTCTTTTATACGAAAAAGAACAAGAGAGAAAAACATAACATTTAGCCATAATTGTTAGTACTTAGTACTAAAACAAATTGGGTATTGTTCAAAGTTTGAGTATTATTCATTATTTATACTTGTGACTTCGATTCAAGCATAGGAGTAAAAAAAAAAATTCGACAGCAAGCAACATCAATTTATCAAACATTGGTAAAAGTCCACTCTTTATTTTTAGCAAACAGAGACATTGGTAACAGTAGATTCTTCGTCTCCAGCAATTTTTGATCTGGTGGTCTTGTTGGAATTTTGGGGGTTGTTTTGTCGGATTACTAGCACTGACCCTATTATGCCATTCTCTGATGAAGCCAAAATGTCTCCTATAAGCCCCAATTCAGGATTCTCTGCTTGAGTCTCTACCATTTTTGCTGCGGAAGCTCCTTTTCCTACAACCAAAAGATCAAAAGCTCCACTTTGCCCTATTTTTATCACTTCCTCTCTTACATTGTTCATATCCTTCTCTATGTACTCCATCGATTTAATACAATTTCTTCTGAATTCTTCCACTGCTGCATCGTCACTTTCCTGCGTGAATTACAAGTTGCCATGAGAATTACGTTCCATTTCAATTTCAAACTAGGTTTCTTTAGAAAATATTCTAGATCCACTTAAAATTATCAGAATGACTTGCCTATATCTGTTTTATGTCTCCCTGTGAACCAACCAATGAAAAATATATATTTTTTTGAAAACGAAAGTATTTTTGATTATTTAATGAAAAACAAAATAGATAAGTAGAAACAACTTTTGAAAAATATCTATTTTCATTGATTTGGTTTATAAATGGACCAATTACAGGATCTAGACTAACTTCATCCTAAAATTATAGAATATAAGTTTCGCATGATTAAGAAATATACTTTAGACGCACTAAATAATAAATTTTGCTTGATTAATTTAGCAGGTAAACTTATTCGTGGGGGAATAATCTAAGTTTGGAAAATGTAAATTTTTTAAATATATATCTATCCCATCACAATTTTCTCTTCACAAATTGAAGGCGAAATTTTAACCCACAAAAATATTTTTGAACTTTAATTTGAACTCGAAGCCCTTTCTCAAAAGATGATTCAAATAATCCTAACTTAAAACTTATTAGTGGTGGGAAATAATAATTTGATCTAATAATCAAGAAAACTAAGAAAAAGAATTAGTCTACCTCCTTTAAGAAGTTACTTGATGAATCCTTGAATCTTATTAGAGTCAAACTTATAGCTGGGTTTTCAACCATTCTAAAACCAATCTCCAGAGCCTTCTGATCATCCGGTCCGCCAAAGAACAAAATACAAACCCTTCTTTGCATTGCACCATCATGACGGTCAACTCCATCAAGTCCACGATCAACAAGTAATCCAACGGTGCATGATGCAGTCTTGAGTACGTTGTGGTTGACTTCCATCCAACCACGGCCCACATCCTCATCTTTTTGACCGCCATCACCATCTCTCCATTGCTTATGGAAAGGCAAGATTATAATAGCTACCCTTTTATCTTCTGCCACGTGGAAAATGTCCTCATGCATTCTCGATAATACTGAGACCGCTGTTGAGTGGCGGATTTTGAGGTGGCTTCCATGGCCACCGTCTGCCTCAACCGCAGATTCTATTTGATCATTGGCGGCGCTGCCTCGACGGAATCGGTTAATGAAGGGAAAACCGTTCTTTCTTGTGCGTTGAACCATCATAATAGAGGATGAGCGATCGGTTAATTCAACGAGGTGAATAATGTAGAGCTTGACTGAGGATGTTTTAGCATTTGTAATTGTGTTGATTAGGTTAACCAGTGGTTTTACATTTTGGGATCCATAAACGCAAGCCAGGATTTGAAGAGTTTTGTCTTGTGAGTTTTTAACTGGTGGTGCTTGTCGTCCTACTCTAACGATACGACTTGTCGGTTTGTATATTGCCATTACTGTTGGAGTTGTTATGAAGGTGGTGAACAGTGCCATCAACACTAGAATTGCAAACATCTCGTCGTTTAGAACCTGCTCATGGTAATCAATATCCAGCAAAAACAAAAAACCAAACTATCAGTTCAATAGTACTAATTTTTTAAAGCAAATTAAATTAAATTTCCTTATTTGCCATTAGGCTACTTCCCTTTGGTTGAGTGTGTGTCTCGTATTACACGAGTTTAGGGATACTAATTTTGATAGTCTCGCCCTGATTAAATATTTCCAATATATTTAAAAGAGCGTCATTTTAGTTTTTACAAGATAAATATTAAATTTACAAATCTTACAAGTTCTTCAAAATTCGATTTTTTTTTTATAAAAATATTTTTAGGGAATAAACCTAAAGATAAAAATTAAAAAGAATCATCATAAAAGAACACCCAATAACAATGACACTACTTTTATTATATCAAAATTAACTACTCTGTTTTCATGTTTTTTAAAATATATTATTTTATTTTTATATTTTAATTCTATCTAACTATTCTGTCATTCCGTTAATATTTTCAATTTTTTCCATTAAATTTAAAAGAAAAGACTAGAATTCCATCGTTTAAAGAAAAGACTAGAATTCCACCTTTTCTTCTTTCACCTTCTCGTTTGTTCTCTCATCCTTCCCTTTTTGTCTCCCACTCATCAATAGATTTGTAAACAAAAATAAATCTATAAACAAATCAACAATCATATATACACAATGTATATATATATATATATAGTAACACAATCGAACAAAGAGCTGTTAGCAAGGAGCAATTTTTTTTTTTTTTTAATAAAATTGGAAGTGTCTGTTGAATTTCAGGAGCAGAGATAAGATTTGCAGCTAAGAACCCACTTTGATTTTCTGCAAGTGGGATTATTTTCATTTTTATTTAGTTTAACCATGTAGATGTTTACATTGGTTGGTTCAAGAGGTATATAAAGAACCCACTTTGATTTTCTGCAAGTGGGATTATTTTCATTTTTATTTAGTTTAACCATGTAGATGTTTACATTGGTTGGTTCAAGAGGTATATATAGTAACACAAATTTAATAGGAAGGTAAAAATATTTGTGTCATTTCATAAGCCTTTTAAGAAAAAAAATAAAAAATATTGATAGAAAGAGAGATTAGTTGGACAGAATCAAAATATAAAAACAAAGTAATGTATTTTAAAAAATATAAAAATAAAATAATTAATTTTGATATAATAGGAGAACATGTTTATTTGTTCTTTCCGTTTTTAAGGTTCCAAAGAATAATATACGATGAAAACAAATTCTTGCGCACTGCTATAGTCTATAGTCTCTGGACCTCACAAATAAATAATGAAGAAAATGTCTACACCTCAATGAGTGGCTTTGACAATAATTGACATGCACAAATTTAGATGCCATGAACCCAATTGGCTTAGTACAATTTATGATTAAGTAATCTTTTTGCATGTCCACATCAACAATGTCAATTGGTAAATTTGATATATTATATATCAATTTAACAATTGACATTGTTGATGATGGACATTGCAAAAAGATTGTTGATGTGGACATGCAAAAAGATTACTCCCACGTATCCATACACTCCAATATGGATTTTGCACTTTCAAATTGGATTAAGACAAAACAATTCACGTGCTAAATTAAAAGTAATTGTCAATTTCTTCATACAAACACTTCATATTGCAAGTTTTAATTGAAAATATAAAAAAAAAATATAAGTGCTTGAATTTATATTAACTATAACTATATGATGTTTAACATAAAAGTTATTGAAGTTATCTCTAAAATTAAGAGGTGGTTTATTGGACTGACTTTGAATGTCTAATCTTAATTAATAATTTAATGAGTTGAATGATTATGAATTAGTAAAAAGAGCTAATTATTGATGTTCAAAGAGTGTTATACGATGTCATTTTATAATTGTAGGCTTTATCTATCATTTAATAAGTTATATAGTTTATTAAACTTTAAAAAAAAAAAAATTTCATTCAGATAAAATTCGGTTTGTTGTATACCAAGGTATAGTTTAATAGTAAATGCATATACGATCTGACAATAGATCCATATTCGAATTCCTCATTCCTAATACTCAAAAAAAAAAAAGTTTGTAAATTCAAATAAAAGTTTATAGTTAAACTCAAACAAACAAGTTTATTCTTTGAACAAATAAGCTAGAAATTAGATAAACTGGGGATCGCACAACAAACTCTCTATTAAATTAACCAACTAAAATTATTTTTGCTCATGGTTTAGATTTTTATTGGCTTCCATTTCTTAATTAAATCTTTTCAGGGTAAAGGTTGTGTTGAAATATGTAAGTAATCCCACGTTGGATAAACACAAACTAAGAAAATGGAATGCAATGAGAAGAGTGAATGAGCCATTTGTCATTATAAATCCAAATATTAATATATTATAATTGAATTTAATTAATTTGCTCTTAGGGGCCGAGATTCTTATATTATAAAACAAGTGTTTTAATGGATATACCTATCGTTTTAAATTCTATACCCATTTTACTGTGGTATATAAGTAAGTCAATTTTGAAGTAAGTAAATTTTGTACTCGTGGCTAATAAACTTATTATAGTAGGTTACAAAATCTATTGTTTAAATATTATTTCTTTTAATTACTAAACTATTTTTTTTCTTTTTTTTTTTGTTCTTTGTTTACAATCTTTTTTTCCTTCGAAATTTGAAGATTTTTCATCTTAATTTAATATCAAAAATATTTTTTAATATCTAAATAAATGAAAATTTATAACAAATTTATTCTAAACACATAACCTTTTACTTTTGATTTTTTTTATTTAATATATCGCAATCTAATTAACACTATTTGGAATCTAATTCACTACACAAAAAATTTTAGACACTTTAGAAATATATAATTTTGAATATCATAAAATAATTTACAAATAATATTTTAAATGGTTGATAACTTAGATATATTAAAATTTACAAATAATGTATCAGTATAAATTTATTTAAAAATTCATAGATTTAAATTATAGAATTCTGTAATTAATTTTGACATAAAATTAAGTGTTTAAATCATATTTCAAAGGTAATTGATTACCACTTTTACGAATTGAATAACAAAATTTTACAAAAGCTATAAAATTTAAAATTTTTGATGTATTCTTTAAAACTATAAATTAATATTGAACATCCAAAAATTAAATTATGAGCATTATAATAATTTTGAAATATTATGTAAATAATTAATCTTTTCAAAAGAAAATATATATTTCTTTTAATTTTATTTTAGAGGGAAAGTAAATGGTTTTTTATTTTAATTAGAGGGTGTGCATGGTTCTTGGGGATCCGAACTGAATCAAGGAACCGTACTAAACCAAATCAAAACTGAAAAAGAATCGAGATAGTAGGAGTCGAACCATATCGAACCGAATGCAATTTATTATTTTGGATATAGTTTTGGTTCTTAAAAAGAACCATACTGGAACCGCACCGAAACCATACCAAAATTGAACTGAACTAAATCGAATTGAAAAACTGACTAGTCCATGTATTTTTTTCTTTAATGTCTCAATATATTATGTTATTTGTGAAGACATTAAATTTTATTATTTGAAAACAAAATCTCTATTAGTTGATGCTCTTAATGAATAATACAAATGGAGTATAAATAAAAATTATTTATAAAACATAAAAAATTAATATCTAATGATTCCATCATCTCTCACTGTATATAATACTTTAACAATATGATCATTCATAATGTTTATATAGTATTTTACTATATCTATAATTTTAATAAAAAGTGCTTTTTAAATTATTTTTATCTTTAAAAAGTCTTAACTTATATTAATACATTAATCGCGTGACAATGAAGGTAACATCACTTTGCAAATTTCGTGAAATTTAAATTCTTTTTATTGACAATAGAATTCAATTGCTAATTTGATTTCTTGATTTTATTGACAATAGAATTCAATTGCTAATTTGATTTCTTGATATTTGGAATGTTCATATTATTACTTTGGTAAATTCCTTTTATTGACAATAGAATTCAATTGCTAATTTGATTTCTTGATATTTGGAATGTTCATATTATTACTTTGGTAAATTCCTTTTATTGACAATAGAATTCAATTGCTAATTTGATTTCTTGATATTTGGAATGTTCATATTATTACTTTGGAGATTGCTTAGAATTTGAAAGATGACGTGGGCTTTTTCTTGCAATGAATAAAAATAAAAATTTTATTATTGATCATCATCTTTTAATGCATATTTTAGTATGGTATGATTCTTTCTTTTTTTTTTAATTAGCATATACTGTAATTTTATTTTGATATTAGAATATTTTTATATAAAGTAACATTTTAATATGTTTTAAAAATATAATAATTTTTAATGGGGAGAATTGGAACCGGAATCAGAACCATAGAATCAAAATCGAAAAACAGAAAAATTATACCGAAAATTTTGTTCGGTTCGGTTCCGATTCTTAGTCCTTTGATTCCGATTCTGGTTCCTAAAAATAAAAGAATCGAATCTTTGGTTCGATTTCAGTTCTTAAAAATTGTACCGGAACTGGAATTGCACAATACTATTTTTAATTGTTTATTAAAAGAATAATTAAAATTTTTATTGGGCTTCAATGATTTATATTATTGTTTAATAATAAATATTAAATAAATAATAATAATAATAATTAAGTCTTGTTCTCCAACTCAAGTATATGAATCAATAATGAGTAGTAAAAAATAGTAAAACAGAACTCACCTTCTGCTCCTTGCCAATATTGAGAACAATGAGTTCCACCAATCCTTTTGTATTCATCAACACCCCAAGAGCCAAAGATTCTCTTGCAGGAATCATACACAACATTGCCACTATAAATGTCCCCAGAATCTTCCCTGCACAGGCCGTTGAAATAACAAGCAATAGAAGACCCCAAGCCTCAACTCCTTGGATCTTAGCTACGTCTGTCTTTAACCCACTTGAAGCAAAGTAAAGTGGGAGAAGCAAACCTGACACAAAATCTTCAATCCTTATTGTGAGTCTTGCAGCAAATTTTCCCCTTTTAGGGATTGTTAAACCAAACACAAAGGCACCAAATATTGAATGGATTCCTATAAGATCAGTCATAAATCCAGATAACATAACTCCGGATAAGGTTAAACATATGAATGCTTCATCGAGAGAATCTTCTTTCCGTGAGCATTGTCGGGCAACCCAATTCATTATGGGTCGGATAGCCACCATCATAAAAGCCACAAAAGCAATCCCAGAGATGAGAACCCATATGGATACTAACGGACTCTTTGAATCTTCGCCTCCAAGGGCTACAGCGAGTGCTAACAAGATCCATGCTGCTACGTCGTTAAATGCCGCTGCAGCCATTGCTGTCTGACCCACTTCAGTTGTTAGCAATTTAAGTTCTGCAAGAATTCGTGCAAGCACAGGGAAAGCAGTAATAGAGAGAGAAACCCCCATGAACAAGAGATACTGGCCATAAGCAACATTTTCTTCACCGCGAACGACTTTACGAAGAATAAAGGATACTCCAATACTGAACAGGAAGGGAAGGGAGATGCCAGCCAGTGCTATGCGAAAAGCTCTTTTGCTACTCTGGCAAATTGTGCTCAAATCAAGTTCAAGACCTACAAGGAAAAGAAAGAAAAGAAGACCAATACTTGATACCGATTCAAGTATGGGAATGCTCCATGAAGGGAACACTATCTGAAATAAGTCTTTATTCCGGCCAAGAGCTGATGGTCCAAGCAAAACTCCACCCTAAAATGCAAGAATACAAAAAAGAAAGCAATCATTAAGCATAAAATAATATGGAAAGTTATGCATCTCATAGCATTTCCATACATGCCTTTGACTGGAGGCCGACCCATGCGGTGAATAGAAGATTTTTCAAAATTGAAATTATTTAAAATGATAAATTATTTAAAATATTCATATTCTAATTATATTTAGAAGTTGTAAGGTTTTGCTTATCTTTTACTTTTATTAAATCTTTAACTCCACCAAAAGGCAATTGGATGAATGGAAATAGATTGCATTTTCAGATAAATTTTATATATAATTACAGAAATTTGAAACCTAAACTGAACATAACATCATGTGTACCAGCCAAAGAAAAGACAAAGAAAAAAAAATTTTCTTTGCCCCCAAAGGGGAAAGTCGTAGATTTGCTTTGCCTTTGATGGGACGTAATTTAGTTCACTGTACGCATGAAAGTTGAGAAATGACATTTCTTTAGAAAAAAGAATTAGAATTAAGATAGGCAAGTGAAACTTAACGTACAATTATCTCAGCAATGACTCGGGGTTGTCGAAGGGGCCTGAATAGGAAGGCAAGGAAGCGAGTGATGAAGAGAACTAAGGTTGTTTGAGCTATTAATAGTGGGAAGGCATAATTTAGAGGATTATCTCCTTGCCATATTCCAGAGGAAGATGTTTTAATGGTGGTTAAGTTGAGTGGTATGCTTGGTTGCTGATCAAGTGATATAAATTTCCTTGTAAACATGGTAGCTAGATATGGCCTTGCAGCCTATGTTTGAAGCTTTTCCTTACAAACTTGTATTTTTAAATCTTGGACAGGACATATAACAGGGTTTTATAGAGGCAAGGAAGGTGATAGACGATTGATTTGAGTGGACATAATTTTTTTTTTTTTTTTTGATCCTTATTTCTCTTTTCTCAGCCATACAAAAACTTCTAGTCAACTAAATTCTACTGTATGTAACAAGAAAACAAAATTTGCTCCGTAACTTTTAGGTCAAATGATGATTATGAGTCATGGCTATTAGAGGATGAATGTTTTGATTTTATTTGATTGATTTCGTTGAAGAACAATTGATTTGATTCATTCCAAATTTAGAATATAATTTAAGTTGAAAATCGGTCTTTCCATCTATTTTTAAAGATATAGAATACAAAAAACCAATCTGGTAGAGTGTAATAATTAGTAAAAAAAAAGTGTCATTGCTATTTTCATCTATTTTTTCATATATTTTCCTAAACCAATCTGTCATTGAATAATAATAATAATAATAATAATAATAATAAAAAAGCAGAGTGCAAAAAATAAAGTTTGGAATAATTAATTCCTAAATTTCTGTGTGCGAAAGATTGAGAAAGGATGCAAGAAGCCATATCACCAACACCGTTAAAAGAATCATTTTCACATAGAAATTTGAAGATGCTTACAATCAGTGTTATTAAATTCGGCCCACCCAGCTAAATAAGGTGAATGAGTCATTGTTTTAGCCGGTGGTTAATGGTTAAATTAGTGGATCGAAAAAAATATTAATAATAGTTAAATAATTATATTTTAAAATAATTATAATATAATAAAAAGAATTAAAATATTAAAAAGCTCGTCTAGATCAATCAGATGACCTGTATAGATTGATCGGTTCGATTCAATTTTTTTTCTTAAATAGTTCAAAAGTAAAACCAGTCTGATTTTGAGACCGGTTCATTGATTCTCTAGATTAATCCATCGGATCGGACCGAGTTTAATAACTATGTTTATGATAGCATATATTATCGCTAATATAAAATAAATTTTATGTCATGTAATAGGATTTATACTCTTGGGAGTTATAAAAAGTCTTTTTAGTTGTTAATTAAAGAAATAAATATTTCCCATATAGTAAAATTAATGGCATGTAAGACAACTAAATGTGATCCGGTTGGTCTTATCACCTGTATGAGGAGTAAGAGATTTCGAGTTTAAACCGTCTTTGATCATAATAGTTTCCACTAATTTAGTGAATCAAAAAGAGAATAATCTGCTACATAAATTGAGATGGGACGACAGAGATGATTTTTCTCTTAACTAAGACATAAGATTTTTATAAATATGTGTTTGAATCCAGTAATGGATTGACTGCCATATCTGCATATCGAACAAACTTGGGGCTAGAAAATGTCTGTTCTATTAGGATATACTCGTAAGGACATGGAGCTCCATTTCTATATTTAAATCCATCAGCTTAAATACACACGTGTTTACATAAAATCAATTAGTTAATTTATAGTAGAATTTATAAATCTTTTTATTACTTTATTATTATCTATTTTAATGAAAAATGGTATAAAACTCTTATTTTAAAGTTATTTCTAATTGAGAATAAATTGAAGTTGAGGTGTACTCTACAAACAGAGACATTTTAATTAGGAGATGTTACTTAACCTTTGATAAAATGTTGCTTCTTGACTTTCACCTTTGAAAGAAAATGGTGGCCTTAGGGTTCAACATTTGGCTCAAACGGAATTCAAGAAAACTGATTTTTGGAAAATGAAACTAAATCGAATTTTATTTAAAATTTCATAAAATCGAAAAGTTAGAAATAACAGAAAGTAGAACCAAATTAGCGGAAATTATATATCGGTTATTTCGGTTTTCTAAACTTAGTCTAAGGTTATAATGATTTTATTATGTCTACATTATAAGAATGAGAATGAATTATTTTATTTACTAATTAATATATATCTTATGTGGAAATATTAGATAATTTAGATTATAATGTGAGGTAGGAAGCATGAAAACATCTAGTTATGGATATTTTCACGTTCCGATAATGTTTCTATCCTCTTTTTTCATATAAAGTACCGTTTTTCTAAGTAAAATTATATTTTAAATGTTGTTTTTTCGCATTGTTTCCGTAGTTACACATTTCTTTGTTTTCATTTCCATGAAACATAATATGCGAGAGTAATCTTGAATTTTTCTTAATATACAATAGTGTATATATATTATATGAGAGTTTTGATTCAATAATGCAGAAATTATATTATAAAAGGCACCATTAGCATTTCTCAGAAAAAACAAAAAAGACACTGTTAGCACATAAAAACTGACGACTCCCATTATATTATTACTTATTCATTTTGCATTATTTGTTGACTTTAGATAACAGCATTAAGTGGCATCGCACCGTAGGTAGCAATGGCAACTTTATGTGGATGCCGTTTCTGTTGTTCCAGTAATGCGTTAAAAAGGTTGTCGGGCATTGCACTGAATTATTTCATAATCATATTCAGTAAATGAGTTGGAAAAAAAAAATCAGAAATGGGATTTTGAAATATGTAGCACATTTTAGAGTTCGGTCTAGGACTAGGTTGCTGGAAATTGAAATACAGATTCCGAATAGGTTCGAACCTTAGAAAATGAGTAATATTGGGGGAAAAATCATAAAAAAATTAAAAAGTAATAAGTAACATACAATTATATCCGAATGACTCGACGTTTTCGAAGGGGCTTTAGGAGGTAGGGTGACAGTGATTTTCGCAAGTGTACGAAATCGCAACAAGTAATATAGAGTAAGAAGAGTATCGTATCCACAGGGATTGTATATTAAGTACCAAAATTATGTTAACCTATTATTATTTAAACGGCAATAAGGGGAATTATTTTAAGAAATTACAAGCGGATTGTTATATTAATAGTACCAAAATTATGTTAACCTATTATTATTTAAACGGCAATAAGGGGAATTATTTTAAGAAATTAAATTAAACAAATAAAAGAGAACAAAAAGAAATCGAGCAACAATATTTGAAGAAAAGAAATCAAGGATTTAAAGCTACTAGGGATTTTGACTTCACTTAGTTCTATCCGATTTATTTAATTAATTCGTTAATCAATTTTAATTGTTCAAGTAGGGGAAACAACCCTAAAATCACTAATAAGCTCTCCCGATGTTTTGTTAGCTATTTTAATTTGGTCTAATTACCTATCTTCCAATAGCGCAATCAAACATGAATTAAATCATTAAGTTTTATGGTTTGTTTATGAATTATGAATTCATAACTTAAGGTCATTAACTTATGAAAAACCCCCTATGAGTCAAACCATATAGCTTCCGCCATCAAGTTATTATTCTCATGTAATTTTATTACCCTATTACATCCCAAAAACCCTTCTCCCCACATAAGTGGATAATGAAAATAAATCAATCCAGGGGAGAAAACTCTGCCTGGAAAACATTAAGTTCAATAATAAATTAATCATGAACAAGGAAAAAACAAATTCTAATACTATAAAGTTGGAATCAAAAATTAAGCTACATTAAATTATCCTTGTATGAGAGTTTTAGTTCCAACATTAGTTAATTAATAAAATTCAATTAAACTTGTAAATTCTCATAATCAACATGAATATTGAAAATAAAACAAGGAAAGAGTTTAGAAATAAAAACTAGTTAATGAATGTAGCTTTGAGGCGGCTTTCCTTGAATCTTGACACAAAGTTCTTGAATACTTGAAAGTCTTGGATGAGAGAGAGAAAAACAGATATAACAAAAGATGGAATATACAAATTGAACGGACCTCTTGACTATAACTAGTCTCTCTATTTATATAGACTATTCTGGAAATATTCTTCGTGTTCGCTTTAGGAAAGTGAATTCTTTATGAGTAAAGAAATCTATTTAAAAGATAGGAAACTGTTTATGCTTTGTATTTCTTCCAAATTAGGACTCTCTCAGCGTTTAATAGGATTTTAACTTGTTCGGACATCAGAAAAGGAATCTCATGCGGGTCATGCAAGCGGTTATGTGCCTGGAACTGACATTTTCAGTCCAATGCAAAATTCTGGTCTTAAAAATCTGGTCTTCAACACGGGCGTGCTATCTGGTACGGCTTGGGTACAGTCTTTTCTGCATTTTTGGCTGATTTTCTATAAAAATTCTACAGAATTCTTCAAGATTAAGTGAAATATGATTCAAGAAAGTTTTGAACAAAAACATAAATAAAACTGAATAAAAACTAATTAAAGTAATTAAAAATAATAAAAATCCTAATAAAAACTATATTAAAAATTATATAAAAATAGCAACTATCATAGGGGAAGAAGGTAGTTTAGGTGATTATCACCTTGTCAAGCTCTATCGCAATTCTAACTAAGGTGTTGATTGAGGTGATTAGCGACCTCTATTTCTTTAAAGGTGAGAATACAAGTTGAATCATCGGGAAATGCACACTTTGTTTCGAGAGCAAAATACTTTATACTTTATGACCGGAGGAAATTCAACCTCATGGTTAAATAAAAAAAAGACAAAATTGTGTGAGATGCTTGGTTGATGACCAAACACTGAAATAAGCTTCCTTGCAGAAGACATAGCAATTGTTAGAGGCATTCAAAACTACACTACCTTAGACAGACTAGCAGGTTTTTATAGAGGTAAGGAAGATAGTGGTGGTCCATGCAAAATGGGGCAATTTTAGGCTATTTACGTGTACTTATAGTTTTTTCTAAGGTCACTCTTACCCTTTTCCTTTAAAAAAAAGGTCAAAATAAGCAATAGTGCACTAAATATATTATATTAAATTAATTGTTTGATTGTTCTGAAAATGAAACGATTTGATTCTATGAAAAGAAAATTGATGATTGATTCTGTTGAAAAAAAAATAAAACAAAAAGATGATTAGTTTCATCATGAAATAGTACCTAAATTGATGATTGATTCTGTTGAAAAAAAAATAAAACAAAAAGATGATTAGTTTCATCATGAAATAGTACCTAACTATTAAGGGAACCTTTTATAAAGTAATATGCCATTT